ACACAGAGTGGGAGGGATCCTGGTGTTACTGCTGTTTGTCCTGCTCGCTGTGGGAGTGGGAATCGCGTGGGACACAGAGTGGGAGGAGTCCTGGGGTTACTGCTGTTTGTCCTGCTCACTGTGGGAGTGGGAACCACACGGAACACAGAGTGGGAGGAATCCTGGGGTTACTGCTGTGTGTCCTGCTCGCTGTGGGAGTGGGAACCACATGGAACACAGAGTGGGAGGAATCCTGGGGTTACTGCTGTTTGTCCTGCGCGCTGTGGGAGTGGGAACTGCATGGGACACAGAGTGGGAGGGATCCTGGTGTTACTGCTGTTTGTCCTGCTCACTGTGGGAGTGGGAACCGCGTGGGACACAGAGTGTGAGGGATCCTGGGGTTACTGCTGTTTGTCCTGCTCACTGTGGGAGTGGGAACCGCGTGGGACACAGAGTGGGAGGAATCCTGGGGTCACTGCTGTTTGTCCTGCTCGCTATGGGGGTGCTCTGGGCACAGCTATGTCCGGCATTGTGCGTAGTAGATACAGAACTGCAGCTCGGAAGGAATTAGGGTTTGAAAAACTTACAGTATTTTTCCGTGTATAAAACTAAATTTAAAAAAATAAATCACTTGTGCGTGGGCCTGACAGCCAACCAAGTTAGTTGCACATGGCTGGAGTTCCTTCGAAAATCGAATTATTAAGCCAAATACTTACGGTACTTACTCAGCGCAATTTGGGCACAAAACGTGGTTACTCGCTGACAGAACACTGAGCTGACTGTTGGGTTCGCTACGGCCAGGTTCCTGCGGGTATAGGCTGTGTTGTAAACCTCTGCGACCTGCTGACATATTTGAAGCAGAGACGCTTCTCCGTAAGGTTTGATCGGTTGTGTGTGCAGGTCTAGGAGATATTGCGCAGCCGCATGCTTCCTAGCATCACTCTGGACCTCACCAAGACCTCACACCTGGAATACAGATAGATTCCACAGGGTGAGGCCTTGCCTGCACATCCCCCACAGGGTACTGCAGGCAAAGAGCATTGTTAGCGCCAACAGCAGGACCGCAGTCCAATGAACCAGTGTCCGGACCTCAGGGAGTGGCCAACCGTGTGAGGGGGCCAAGGACTGGTGGGGGATCCTGATCAGCCAAACTGGACTTCAGTGCTATAAATGTTTAAAATATGTATTTCTTAATTTTGGGTTCTAAAAATAGGGGTCATCTAATACATGGGGGCATCTTATACACGGACAAATTCGGCATTTACAAGATCTTTATACAAAGTTTCACATTGCCATCTTACATAAAAAGGAAGAATTAAACAGCTCACAGACGATGTGAGATACAGTAAA